TGGAAAGAATGGATGAGGAAAGAGTGACAAAGAAAATTTATGTTGCAGAAGTGAATGGCAGAGTCGGAAAAGGATGTCCTAGGCGAAAATTTATCGACCAAATTGGAGATTTATTGAAAACGGGCCAAATTAGGAGTACCCTTAACCGACGAGCATGCATGCGTAGGTGTATGGATGTGAAGGAGGCGAGAGAGGTGTGTCAGGATCGTGCTAAATGGAAGTCTGTAGTCTCTGCCTACCCCTCTGGGTGACAGGCGTGAGTGTTTATGTTATGTGTTATGTATATATATATATATATATATATATATATATATATATATATATATATATATATATACACATATATTTAAATGATTTTCATAAAATGTAGTGTCCGGGGGGTTTCGGGGGCAATAAATCGATCTAGCTAGGATTTATTTTTAGAAAATGTCGTTTTATCCGTGTTTTCAAGCAATGAAAAACTGCTACAATATCGTTAGAATAAGAAGGTAAATGGTAAATGGGCGTAACGAAATCGTTGTACCCTGGTTCGAGAACTATCTTCAGTCCGACTTTTTTTTTCATTTTGTTTCAAGTTCCCTTCTTTTTTGAGAAAATCTATTATTTCGAGCCCTTTTTTAGTATTTTTTAAAAACATGAAAATTCGAATTAAACTAATTGCATTCATGATATTTTATTCATTTTTTTCTATTATGTCGGTAAGATTAAAAATATTATTTATATTTCAACAGTATGTAATTTGTATCTAAATATAATTTCCAAAACACACGATTTAAAAAAAATATACCGAGCAAAGCTCGGTCAATCAGGTACTTAATTTTTAAGCGATTAAAAAACCTTACTTCAAACTTAAGCTCTGCTGACAACCATTAGTTATTTGAGAATTTACAGTTTTTTCGAAATCGGAATTTAAATAAGTATTTAATTGTATATAGCTTTATATTATAGAGGTTTTCGGTTTAAGGTTTAAGTTTAAGGTTTCACTAACGAGCAAACAGTCCAACTGATAATAAGTGAATAATGTGTCACATACACATCTACATTTATTCTCGATTTAAGAATCAATACGAGGGCACTGAAAATTTCGGGAATCAAGGAAGTGACACAACATTACTATTTAAAAATGTATTTATTGTATTTCGAAGTATTCTCCGCGAAATATGACACATTCTTCCATACGATGGAACCAATCATTGAAGCAACCATTCCATTCGGAAGTTGGGGTCTCCAAAATGGACGTTTTGTAGGCGTCCACAGCTTCTTCAGGTAATGAAAATCTCTATCCACGCAATTTATCTATAATTAATCATTAGGGCTTAGGTCGGGGCTGTACGGCGAATGGTCTAATAATTCTATTTCCTTGCTCTAAAAACTCTTTTGTTCTGTGTGCGGTGTGAGAACTCGCATTGTCGTGATGGAGGATGATGCGGCGGTTGCAGTTCTCTTTACGGAGTTCAGAAACGACCTGTGGCAAACAAATGCTAGCATATCATTCTGCATTAGCCGTTCTTTGTCCCTCAGGAGGAATAGTCGTAACATGGCCGGTTTTGGAGACAAACGTGGCCACCATTTTTTTTGCAACACTCCGTGAACGAACAATTTTTGTTGGCTTTAACTCATTTTCGAACACCCAAACTCGTGACTGGTTTTTTATTTCGGGATCGTACGCATATATCCAGGATTCGTCGCCTGATACGATGTTGTATACAGCATTTGAGGATCCTGCGTGGAATCTTTCGAGAGTTCTGACGCACCAAGTAACGCGAGCCATTTTTTGCTCTTTACAGAGCGAATGCGGTATCCATCGGGAAAACAACTTTTCTACATCATACGGGGATCATCACTGAGCTTGACACGTCCACGTTGAAATTCAGCAAACCAGCGATAAATTGTGGTTTTGGATGGGGCTTCATCACCAATTGCAGAAATCATCCGGTCAACACACTGTTTTTGTGTTAAACCACTTCGAAAGTCATAATAAATCATCGCTCTTGAATTCTCTCGAGTCAATTACATTTTCTCAACGACTAAACAAGTTTGACAAAACCTTGTGACAAGACCGAGAATCTTTTTTTAAATAAATAAATGGTATTCGATTTTAAAACCAAGGAGTTTTCAATTAATAAGATTTTAATATGACCGGAACATTGGAAATATTCCATTCCCAATACTTTTAGTGCAGCCTAGTATGTAGATGCGTTATCACCCCTGAGGACTAAGACGGAACGCCTCGTTTCCAGTAAAAAGGTTCTCCGATTCTCCTACACTAGATATACGAAACACAGTAGCACTGCGCTGCTACTTTGTTACTCTGTAAAAGAAACATAATATAGCAACAGTATTCCTCTACCACGTAAAATAATAAAAAAGTTGCTCTGGTGTTATTATACAGGGAGAAAAAAGTGGACTACGTTGGTAAGGATTAAATACCATCCTAATATCTTCATAAAAGGATATTAAGCAATAAATAAAAATACGTAACGTTAAATTTTTCTTTAATTAAAACAATAAACGAAAACATCACAGTAACTTATAAATAAAATGAATATATTAGATAAGTTAATATTATTTACAATCCATAAGTACCAATTTAAAAAAATCTAACAACGAAAATAATTTTATTTTAACTAACAACAATTTCTACTAAATTATCACACAAATTATTTGAATTAGTACCTAGTTTCTTTCTAAGAATACAGAGTATGGACATATAGTCCCTTTCTTGATTGGATATTTTTTATTATTTAATACTTATATCGTCTTTCGTATTACAGTAGGTATTACCTAAAGAGATTATTCCTCTTCTTCATTAGGAACAAAGCAACATGTTTATTGATCATCAAAAAACTTAAAATTTAATTTTCTGTCTTAGTGTGTGCGCAATACAAGTACTTATAATATATGTAGTACGCAACAGGTAAACTTAGCAATCGGAATATGAGCTGAGGCGCGAGAGAGGGGTTGTGTATTAAAGTGAATTCAGTCGCAACAAAAAAAAACCAACAATTCAATCCCAAGCACGAGAACTAGCCAGAAAAGTATTAGAAAATTGTGACATTGAACGGAAAAACAATTATAAATACCCTGTCAATCAGACATTATATAGGGCTGCGTTTTATACCGGCTTATCGAAAAGAACTTTGTCCAGAATAAATATCGAATCAAAATTAGTAGGACTTGATAAACAATTTAAATCGCCCACAAAACGGAAGAAGACAGGTCAACAATTTTGTGTAGACAATTTTGATCGTACAGTGATTCATAACACTATAACAGAATTTAAAATTTACAAAAGAAAATCGTTCTGACATGTCCGAAGCTACGTTGCGTTACGCGAAAAAATAGCTTTTCGTTGGGGTGTTCGTACGTTACAAAGGCTGTTGAAAAAAAATGGGCTACATGTGGCGTCAGTGTCTGACCAAACGACATGTTTTAATTGAAAAGCCAGATATAGTTTTCAAACGTTATCATTATTTAAAGAAAATTAGGGAATTCCAACAACACCACTGAAATATTTTTTATTTAGATGAAACGTGGATGGACAATAATTTAACTTTCAGAAAGCGTTGGCAAATGACTGGATCAAAAGGAATTCTCACAGATATTAGTTCTGGAAATAGACCAAAAATAGGAGTCATTAACGGATTTCTACCGGGGGCTTCTTTGATATTTAAGGCTGGTACGACTACCGACTACTATCATGAACAAATGAATGGCAAGAATTTTAAGAATTTGGTAGTCGAAAAGCTTTTTTGCCTTCACTTCCTGACCGCAGTGTCGTGGTAATGAATAACGCATCGTACCATACTATTCAGCTAAATAAGCCCCCAACAAAAAGTTCGCTTAAATCTGCAATGATAAAATGCTCGTAAGACAATAACATGTCTTACGACAGGTCAATGAGGAAACCTAACTTATTTCAAATTATAGGATAATACAGAATCGTTGATATCAATTATCAAATTGACAATATAGTTAAAATAATGTCATGACCATGTCCTAATTAAAGGACATGGCCGTGACATTATAAGACAACCGAACAAACCGAAACAAACCGAGACAAAAGAAAAAAAAATATATGTGCGATTTAAATCCTATTGAATTATCCTGGGCCGACATTAAAGAGCAATTTGTGTTTGAAAAAACTAAAATAGGTAACGACAAATGCAATTTTCACAAGTACGGCAGACAACTGGGTCAAATTCTCTCAAAATAACCAATTTAATTTTTTATAACTTATTAATTTATGATTAGATACGATTTTTAATGGTTTTATACTACGGTGTGAAAAGAAAAATAAGTGTACAGACCTTATCCGACTGCTGTCATTACCTCAAAATTTTATTTATATAATAGCATTTGTCCTTGGCTTCTAAATGAAAAGATGATAAATTATTATGTTATTACAAACAATAGTTGTTTTTATACTATAGTAGTTGTAGATTGACGCGACCTGTTAAAGGAATCAAGTGACAGGTCAATCAATGTATGGAAAGTAGGCATGATTCTTTCGAAAAACATTTTCAGAAACTGGAGAATGAATACTAGGAAAAATATAGAGCACTTGAAAATGTACCAATGGAAGATTTTATCATAGAAGTCGGAGGAACTAGTAACGAACGAAGTAGAAGCAACGAAGTGCTTGTAGGGATGATAGTAAGAGTTCACTAAGTGATATTGATTGTGATGAATAAAATATTATTATATTTTTTCATTTTACTTATAATAAATAGTAGCAAACAAAATCGATTTAAGTTACCTGGTACGTGATGCTACATCACTAGAAAATTGCCATGTCGACCTGTAGCGTACTTTACCTACGCCTATTTTAATGTACTTGCTTTATATTGGTAATAAAATTATAAAAGTTGTTTTAATAAATCTTTCCGAGTCTTTTTTTTCGACACAACTAACGTTAAGCGAATGTAACATTGGATGTCACATTGGGTATCCGTATACTATATATTACGTATGTGAACATATTTAATACATATAATTTATTAGAAACCATCAATACTGCCAAGTCTTCGACGGTCAGTCTGCGGTATCAAGTATCCGCTGTCATCGCGAGCCGTCGCCACCATTGCTGCGAAACCTGCTGTTGGGCCACGGGCTGTTGTCGCATGGCCTCTTTCCTGCAGATACTCTATCACCGTCTATAACGAATAGTGGATTTATTAGAAAGGCAAAGTAACATACACGCATTTCACATCCACTGCTAGATCCATGAGTGTCTTTGGGCTGACGCTATATAAATATTTTTTTTTACAGAATGAGGGTAATAAACGAGCACACTGTGTACCTGATGGTAAGTGGATGCTGTGTGCCCCATAGACTTCTACATCTGTCCCCTATTAAGAATCAAAATGCAAATGCGTAACAACTGAGGACTAAGATGGAATACTTAGGTATATCTTTTCCAGTAAAGAGGATCATAGGGTCTCTATACCCACCATACGAAACACAGTAGCATAAAGCTGCTATTTTTCTGTGAGAGCGTGGTCTTTCCGCAGTTAAGCCGATCTTTTTTCATATAATATTGTTACGAGCTTAGGTTTCGTGACAATAAAAACTACCGATTGAATTACCAAAATTTACACTTTTATTACCGAACACCATCGATCACTAATAAAAACTAGATACACAATCAGTGACAAAAAACGACCTCACCGAATGAGCACCCATTCGAACATTTGGGTGCACTTTTAATCTAGTTACATTCGAACACTAAAACGGTAAACACGCCACAGTGCTCGTTTAAAAAGTGTAAAAATCACACATCCAGGACGCTAAAAAAGGATGGAATTTCCTAATTTCGGTACGTATTAATATTATCATTATTTAATTCTTATCACTGTATTGGAAATACTTATATTTTGTCAAGAAATCTCCGTAAAACATTTTTTAAATTAAGTCTTAATAAAATAAGTCATAATTGTTCGAGGTATGTGCGTTGACTCTGTTCCATTTGTTGGAGACGTTATTATTTTTTTATTATTAAAGTATGATTGTTTTTTTTTTCGTTTAATGAGACTTATATTATAATTATAGTTTCCCTAAATATTATAGTAACATTTTATAGACTTAATTTTGAATATGTGCATGTAGTAAAATTAAAGATGTGAGATTTTATTTTTTATTTTCCAGCGTTCCTCGAGATCCAGTTAGGTGTGCGGAATGGATATCAGTCATAGCATGTCAAATGTCCGAAGAGTTCTTCAAAGCCGACCCAAGGAAGCGTTGTATGTTCGAAGCATGTTTTAGAAAGTGATGAATATGTGACTACGACTTACATCTTTCTGTACATACTTTTTATATTCAGTAACTATTGAATTAAGATTTAAGTTCTTTGTCAAGCAATATTTTTAAATTATTGACACAAGATGAAGAATAAATAAATAATTATGACTGTTTCAAGCAGGGGTTGAAAGCGGTAAAGGTATAAGGGTATGGTACCGGTATAGAATTACGATACAGCTTCGATTTAAAGGTAGAACCAAAACGGTTGAGAATTACGGTTGTGGTACCGTTAAAAAAAGAATTATACCTATATTTTTTTACGGTATCGTTATACCTATATTTTACTAATACCTTTACCGAAATAATTTCGGTACCGAAAAAAATGAGTATTTTAGGCTTATTTATATGTATTGTGTCTCGGACCTTGCTTAACGTTATGAGACTCATTCGATTTGGATTTCCTATGTTACTGTATTTCATGTTCAGAGAAAATAAAACATCTTTATCATATTTGTATTATTATTTATTATCAGTAAAGTATTTAATTAAAAACGTAATATTATGTTTAACATGTGGGTACCAATTCTTAACCTAGCTCTTCAGAATAATTTAAAGGAACATCTTTAAAGTGCTTCCCTACCAAGGGATGTAGGAATACTAATATTTTTTGAGTACACACGGGCTCGCATACAAGTTTTTATATTTTGCATCCGTTTTTTATAACATTTGCCGGCCCTGAGAGCGATCGAATAAAGAACGCTAAGCTAAAAATTACTGCCGTGTAGTGGCGGTTAAGAATCACCGTGGGTGTCGTAAAAGGTGACAGAGGGAAGGCGGCAGGAGATGGGCAGCAGCATCTTCCTTATAACATCAATTGTACAACAAAAAAAAACTGCAGTTGCCAACCCACTCGTAAAGCGTGGCAACTATGGAAATACCCCCTACGAGCAACGACACAAGTAAACGGCCCCCAGTTCCACGGCGGCCGCGCTATTCCTGGCTAGGTGGCGACCATGGTAAAGGCGGGAGAGGGGTGCTAAGAATCTCCGGTGAAGGGTCGATTGCCACCTAAGACGATTCGACTTGGCAACAAACAACGGACGCACCCTGAGGACTACCAAGAAGATCCTGGAGCTGGAAGAAGAGATAGACAAGTAGCGCTTGAATATTAAAGGATCATCCGCGGTCCGAAGAGAGGAGGAGGACACGGTGATTCTTGAATCCGGCAGCTTGTTCTATCACCGGGAGGGCGACCATTCTGTCCCAAGGAGGTGTTGGATTTATAATCCACAAGTCTCTCGTTAACAACCTTGTAAAGATTGGTAGTGTGTCGACGAAGGTTGCGTACCTCATATTTAGAATCACCAAACGGTATCCAAGGTCATACAGGTCTACGCACCAACATCTATTACATTTTTAGATATTCTCTATGATATTTCTAGAGCCATGCATTCTTATAAAAACCACTATACGGTGTTAATGGGAGACTTCAACGCAAAACTAAGCAAAAAGGAAGAAAGGTGAGCTGACGGTAGGTAAATTTGGGTTAGGGCAACGGAACACAAGGGGCCAGCAGCTGAAAACTGGCAGTGATCACCGAATGGTTAAAGGTACACTGAACCTAAACGTTAAGTTGAAGAGGTCTCGTCTAAAGAATTCAACGCTCCGTCCCCCTCGTGCTCTAATCCAGAATCCCGAAACCTTTCAACTCGAGTTACGTAACCACTTTCAGTGCCTAGAAGATTGCAATGCAGTGGACGATATGAATGACAAGTTCGTGGAAACTGTCCATGCGGTCGGAGCTAAGTTCTGCAAGACCCGCCGCAGAAGAACACAAAAACTCTCCGATCAGACTCATCTCATGGCTGTTAGACGGGAGATGAGGCTGCAATCGTCAAAAGATTTGACAGCATACAGGCAACTGAACAGACAGATCTCCAACTGCATGCGGCGAGACTTACGCAACTTTAATATTGCTCGTATTGAAGAAGCGATCGAATGGAACCAGGGCTCCAAAGTCTTTGAAGAATGAGTGTGGCAACACCGTTTCCGGGACACCTGAGATTTTGAGTGAGATTGAGAGTTTCTATGAGCTGCTGAACATATTATCGTTGGAGCCACACGCAAGTGTAAGTAACGATTCAAGAGCAAGTCTAATCCGACACTATTCCGATGATATCCCGAAAGTCAGTCTGAGCAAGAAAAGAAGGCTCTCTATCACGTTAAAAACGGCAATGCCCCAGGTGAAGATTGAATTACAGCGGAGTTTTTGAAAGCGGGCGGAAAACCGGTACTTAAAGTCCTTCAAAATCTCTGCAATTTCGTCCTTCATGGTGGCACTACTCGGAGGCTTGATGCAGAAGTGCAGTGCTCTTATTTTTAAAGAAAGGCGATTACGCTCTCTTGAAGAACTACAGACCGATTTCCCTTCTGAGCCGCGTCTGCGTGCCGTTTTCGAGAATCATTACGAATCGTCTCGCACGCAGACTCGACGACTCCCAGCCTCCCGAAAAAGCCGGTTTCCGAAAAAGGCTTCAGTACCATAGATCACATACATACCCTGCGGCAGATTGTACGGAAGACCGAAGTACAATCTGCCACTTTACGGCGTATACCGCCAACCGGTAACAACCGTAACCGTATATGAGAAAGCATTTGATTCCGTCGAAATTTGGGCGGTGCTACGGTCCCTTCAGCGGTGCCAAGTTGACTGTCGGTATATCGAAGTGCTGAAGTGTTTGTACAGTAGGGCTACGATGCTAAGTGCTGTTTTCGAGTCATTACGAATCATATTCAACTGCAGAGAGGTGTAAGACAGGTTGACGTTATATCACCCATACTCTTCACCGCCGCATTGGAAGATGTTTTCGAGCTACTGAATTGGAAAGGTCAATGGCGAGTACATTACTCACATTCGATTTGCCGACGATATAATCTTTATGGTGGAATCGCTGGAGGATCTAAGCAATATACTCAATGATCTCATTAGTGTATCCTAACGTATAGGTTTTAAGATGAACATGGACAAAACAAAGATCATGTGTAATGTTCATGTCACGCCTATGCTGGTAGTTGTTGGGAGCACTAAGCTCAAAGTTGTTGACGAGTACGTTTGCCTGGGACAAACAGTCCGACCAGGTAAGTCTAACTTCGACCGAGAGGTCTTCAGGAGATTTCAACTCGACTGGGCAGCGTTCGAGAAATTACGACACATCTTCTCGTGAGGTATACCTCAAAACCTAAAAACTAGATTGTACACCAGTGCATGTTGCCAGCGATGACTTACGGATCTGAGACATGTTCCTTTAACTGCTGGCCGTATGAGGACGATCATGGTCGCTCAGCAAGCTATGGAGAGGGCTTTGCTCGGGGTTTCTCTGCGCGATAAACTTAGAAACCGCAGTAGAACCAGGGCAATCGACATAGCCCAATGTATTAGTAAGCTGAAGTGGCAATGGGCCGGCCATTCGGCACGAAGAACCGATAACTGATGGGGAAAAAAGGTTGTCGAGTGGCAGTCTCGTACCGGTAGGCGTAGTGTAGACCCACTAGACGGAATGATGACCTGGTAAGACATGCAGGAAGTCGATGGATGCAGGTGGCTCAGGACCGTGCTTTGTGGCATTCCTTGAGGGAGACCTATGTTCAGCAGTGGACTTGTGAAGGGATATAATGATGATAATGATGAAGCTAAAAATGTCATTTCTTTAATCCTTTTCTTCTCGTTGGATAGCCATGCAATGGAAAAATTCAGAGCGATGTTTATCTTTCTCCGGGTATTTTTCTACTTTAGGGTGTAGAGCAGAAGGAGTCCTTGGTCGTTCCGAATTCACAAAAATATCTAGGGAATGATGGTGCTTATTCTGACACATGATGACTGGTTCTGAAATAAATCATATTCAATCATATCATCACT